GAGCCTCCATTTTTGCACTCAGGTCTAAGTCTCATGGCCCTCTATCAGAATCCAGAGTTTTGGGAAGATTGGAGAAACTTAATTTTTCGCCCAAAAAAAAAACGTAAGGGGTACCACTGTCGTTTTTTTTTCGGGCCGAATTTTTGAGTTTCGATATCTCAGCTCTGGAAGGGGCTAGAGCCTCCATTTTTGCACTCAGGTCTAAGTCTCATGGCCCTCTATCAGAATCCAGAGTTTTGGGAAGATTGGAGAAACTTAATTTTTCGCCCGAAAAAAAAAAACGTAAGGGGTACCACTGTCGTTTTTTTTTTCGGGCCGAATTTTTGAGTTTCGATATCTCAGCTCTGGAAGGGGCTAGAGCCTCCATTTTTGCACTCAGGTCTAAGTCTCATGGCCCTCTATCAGAATCCAGAGTTTTGGGAAGATTGGAGAAACTTAATTTTTCGCCCAAAAAAAAAAACGTAAGGGGTACCACTGTCGTTTTTTTTTCGGGCCGAATTTTTGAGTTTCGATATCTCAGCTCTGGAAGGGGCTAGAGCCTCCATTTTTGCACTCAGGTCTAAGTCTCATGGCCCTCTATCAGAATCCAGAGTTTTGGGAAGATTGGAGAAACTTAATTTTTCGCCCGAAAAAAAAAACGTAAGGGGTACCACTGTCGTTTTTTTTTCGGGCCGAATTTTTGAGTTTCGATATCTCAGCTCTGGAAGGGGCTAGAGCCTCCATTTTTGCACTCAGGTCTAAGTCTCATGGCCCTCTATCAGAATCCAGAGTTTTGGGAAGATTGGAGAAACTTAATTTTTCGCCCAAAAAAAAAAACGTAAGGGGTACCACTGTCGTTTTTTTTTCGGGCCGAATTTTTGAGTTTCGATATCTCAGCTCTGGAAGGGGCTAGAGCCTCCATTTTTGCACTCAGGTCTAAGTCTCATGGCCCTCTATCAGAATCCAGAGTTTTGGGAAGATTGGAGAAACTTAATTTTTCGCCCAAAAAAAAAAACGTAAGGGGTACCACTGTCGTTTTTTTTTCGGGCCGAATTTTTGAGTTTCGATATCTCAGCTCTGGAAGGGGCTAGAGCCTCCATTTTTGCACTCAGGTCTAAGTCTCATGGCCCTCTATCAGAATCCAGAGTTTTGGGAAGATTGGAGAAACTTAATTTTTCGCCCGAAAAAAAAAACGTAAGGGGTACCACTGTCGTTTTTTTTTTCGGGCCGAATTTTTGAGTTTCGATATCTCAGCTCTGGAAGGGGCTAGAGCCTCCATTTTTGCACTCAGGTCTAAGTCTCATGGCCCTCTATCAGAATCCAGAGTTTTGGGAAGATTGGAGAAACTTAATTTTTCGCCCAAAAAAAAAAAAACGTAAGGGGTACCACTGTCGTTTTTTTTTTCGGGCCGAATTTTTGAGTTTCGATATCTCAGCTCTGGAAGGGGCTAGAGCCTCCATTTTTGCACTCAGGTCTAAGTCTCATGGCCCTCTATCAGAATCCAGAGTTTTGGGAAGATTGGAGAAACTTAATTTTTCGCCCGAAAAAAAAAAAACGTAAGGGGTACCACTGTCGTTTTTTTTTTCGGGCCGAATTTTTGAGTTTCGATATCTCAGCTCTGGAAGGGGCTAGAGCCTCCATTTTTGCACTCAGGTCTAAGTCTCATGGCCCTCTATCAGAATCCAGAGTTTTGGGAAGATTGGAGAAACTTAATTTTTTCGCCAAAAAAAAAAAACGTAAGGGGTACCACTGTCGTTTTTTTTTCGGGCCGAATTTTTGAGTTTCGATATCTCAGCTCTGGAAGGGGCTAGAGCCTCCATTTTTGCACTCAGGTCTAAGTCTCATGGCCCTCTATCAGAATCCAGAGTTTTGGGAAGATTGGAGAAACTTAATTTTTCGCCCGAAAAAAAAAAAAAAAAAACGTAAGGGGTACCACTGTCGTTTTTTTTTCGGGCCAAATTTTTGAGTTTCGATATCTCAGCTCTGGAAGGGGCTAGAGCCTCCATTTTTGCACTCAGGTCTAAGTCTCATGGCCCTCTATCAGAATCCAGAGTTTTGGGAAGATTGGAGAAACTTAATTTTTCACCCGAAAAAAAAAAAACAAAAAAACGTAAGGGTAAAAACGTATTACATATAATGTACTATATTTACATTTTGAGGTTGGACAATATGCAGAGAAAAAGCCAACAAAGCCTCTTGTTTTCATAGTATTTCAAGTAGCTTCTGAACAAATCCAGAGATTGTATCAGATCACAAAGACCATCCATGCAGCTGGACGGATACCTTGAATTTGATGTTTACGTTTATCATTAATTACAGCTGTGTTTAATGTGATACACATCTTAGTACAAAGTGTATCACGGTGCTGACTGATAAAGACTTGGCTCAGAGGACTTAGCCAAAGCTTAGCCCTTGATCCAGAGTCATAAGCAGGTCAGAACAGTCTGGACATGCATGAAGGCCAAATGAATAATATCCAGGAATCCAGGAATAATATCAAACTTTCTCTACCAAAACAAATTCAGCTTTCCACAGCCCACTGATACTGACACGACAAACCGGTTTTACCTGGCATTATTTTTGAAAATAGGCATATTAAAATTAATCAGATATGATTCAGTTACACTTTATTTTAAAGGGTTAGTTCACCCAAAAATGAAAATTAAGTCATTAATTACTCACCCCCATGCTGTACCAACCCCGTAAGACCTTCATTCGTCTTCGGAACACAAATGAAGATATTTTTGATTCAATTTGAGAGCTGTATAAGTACCACATTGGCTCCTAAGGGACTGCCTCTTGACGGCCCAGAAAGTCAATGAAGAAAATGTTTAAATATCCCAAGTGACTACCGTGGCTCAACTATATGTTTATCAAGCGACAAGAATACTTTTTGTGCGAAAAAACAAACAAAAATAACGAGTTTATTCGACTATTCCTTTTCTTCCTTGTAGGCCAGAAACGAGAGTTCCTTAGATTTCCACGACGCTTGCGCGAGATCTGATCTGAAGTAGTTGAAAAAGATAGCAATTCTCGCGCATGCGTCGTGGAAATCTAAGGAACTCTCGTTTCTGGCCTACAAGGAAGAAAAGGAATAGTCGAAAAAAGAAAAAAAGGAAAAAAGAATAGGCCCCTTTAAGAGCTGTGCACTCCTTGTTGAACTGTTGGCAGTATTGTATTGTATGTGCCATGTGCAGAACATGCCAATCGCCTCAGTGAGTCTGTCTGGCCTCTGCATGCAATAACTTCAGTTGTGTGCTATGGTCTGTGGATTGTGTGAATATAATGCATTTGGCAACTGGTCAACATTAGACAAACATATTGGTTGGGTTATTCATAAAGGACTTTCGGTCATGCAAATTACGGGAGTTTCCCGGGAAAGATAAATCGGCAGGGGTCTGGGAAATCCCTTCGAGCTGTCCTGGATGAACGTGAATAATTTTTTCTTTCAGTTAGGAATTTGCAGGCATATTTTCTCTTTTTATTTGCCATGGTCTCTTCTTTCTTCCTTTCCCCCTATTATTGTTCGGTCTTAGACGGCGCTCAGTGACGGATGGTTGTTGTCTGGGTGGAAATCGGGAGAAATTCGGGAGAAAGGTCGGTCTGGGAGATTTTCGGGAGGGCCTTTGAAATTCGGGAGTCTCCCGGAAAAATCGGGAGGGTTGACATGTGTACTCACGAGTAATAAGCACGTCCCAACCGGGTTCGTCACTTATTTGGTTCCCCTGGAAACATTTCCATTGTGGTCCGTGTTATTTGCAATGCGTTTCTGTATTTGGTTGTGTTGTGAACTTTCTGCAGCACGTTTCTGTATTTGGACACACGGGTTGTGAAACTGATGAAGATGTTTTTTTTTTCTATTTGCATGTGTTTGCTTCAGTTGCAGCGTGTTGAGCTCTCTCGGCCACCGTACTTTCCTCTGTGGGTAAAACGAAAGTGAAACGAAACTTTCGGAAGATGTTGGAACAGAATCACGTGAACAATTCCAAGATATACTTTTTTTCCATTGGTTGTTGCGTTAAATCTTACCCAGATACAATAGTGCTCTTTTCTGATGGGCAATTGTGAAGCCCCTTTCTTTCTTTTGATTGGGCAGGCTCGACTAAGAACTCCAGGGGAGACGTGCTTGATTCCTCTTTATGGTTACATGAGAGCGGCGCTGACAGATACAGTTTGGACGCTGCGGCATATTACATATATTATAAATATGTTATACATTTTTTTTTCCGAGTAAGAAATACATTGTGTGGCAAGAGTGAGTAACAAAAGATCGAAATGAGTGACTGTCACTATCAATGCGCGACACTTGAGAGCCCTGGTTTAATGTTCTGAGAAAAAGAGTGAATGTTTCAAGAAATGTATCTTAGGCCCTGTTTACACGAGAACGCTCGCGGGTGAAAATGTAAAAATATTTTATCGGATGTGCCCAATTTCTTTTACACGGCGACTGCGTTTTTGAGGCTTAAAAACGCAAAAAAGTGAAACCACCCTCCAGAGTGGAAATCTTAAAAACGCTCCACCGCCGCGTTCCCGTGTAAACGGTAAAAACGCAAAGTCTGCTTGACAGTGAAGGTTGTACGCAGGCGCGTGGACTTGCAGTTGTTGTAGTATGCACTCCTAGCTGCCTGAAGTGCATACTACATTGAATTTCACACACTTTTGCGTCACCAATTGCACACGGATTTCCCACACAAAACGCTCATCTAAACGCAGAATAAAAAGTGATGAGGCTTTTGCGTTTTCTCTTCAGAATTGTTTAAGTGTAAACATAGCCTTAGCAATTGTGAAAAAACTGTATTACTAAATTAAGAGATTGCACCAAATTTAAATGAATAGTTTGCAGAATGTTTCATATTGACTGTAGCTAAAATAGTTGGTACATTACCAGCAAATTTGCATCCTTAAAACCTGAAGAGAGTTTAAGGATTTACACATATTTAAAATAATGATAAGACATTTACAATTGTATTACTATTACTACCATATTTTGATCCCAAAGAAAAAATATGCAGAGATAGAGATTTTGAACAAAATATTTTCTTTATTCTGCAAGAGAACTGAATAATGTGGAGTTCCATTGAATATATACATGAGTTCACCTCATAACAATGGAGAGTCTACAACCAATACAAACTATTGAAACAGATACAAGAAAATGCTTTGTGGTGGAAATCGTAACTGAATAATACTGATAAGTGTGAAGCAACAATAATATTCAAACACTGAGAGAGAGGATTTCTGACATCTATAATAGATTACAGTGTCTCATGTCCTTTTGTGCCATAACTTGTCTGAATAAGACATGAAACACTGGTTATAGAAGGATGTTTCAAGCGGAGCTGGAGCAACATGTTTATTTTCATTGCAGTATACTTGGACATCGAGGGCCCATGGCTTATTGCTCAAGCTGAGTCTATAAAAGTCCAGAGATAAAAAACAAAAAAAAAAAAACACTACTGGTGTTTTAAGGAAATATTTAGTTTTATGCAGAATAAAGTGTATTTGGTCAATAAGATGATCCGAGCGTGACATAAAGCAAACATTTGAGTTTAAAGGTATCGATGAGATGCATTTATACGTTACGGAGTCGGTACAGGTTGTGCAAACGATACTGAACACGCTGTTGTCTATTGCTTCAGCTCCTCTGTCTCAGTTTTTGTAAACATCATTTTGCTTTTAGTCACTGCAACAAAGGGCTCCAAATTATGTCAGGTAAAAAAGCAGTCTTTTCTCATAAGCTATATTAAAATTTATATTTGACTACACCATAAACAGACAATTAACAGTTTTTGTTCCACATCTTTTTTTTTTTTTAGTTTTACTTTTTTTGTTTGTTTATTTATAAATTTTTTACACAACAACAGTCAAGAGTACCAAAAGAAGCATGCTGGGTTTTACGTATGTCAAAGTGGGAAGGCGAGTGTTTTTTTCTTTTTCATTTTTTTTGTGAAAAACTTTTTTTTAATTTATTTTTTTCTTAATAGATATACCTATATATATAAGAAATGTGCTGGATATCATGGTGGGACAGCTGTGGTCTGAACACAAAAGACTCCCAATGAGAATCACAACATATTCAAACCTGACTGCAAATAAAACTTTGCAGAACTGCACATATGGGCAATAGCCAGTGCTAGTTAACAGTCTGGAAAAAACAAACAAACAAACAAAAAACATAACCAGCTTTTCTAATCATAGCACCTGCTTTGTATCGAGTTTAACTGAAAACTCGAGCAGTTACGAGTCAAATAAGGTTGTTTTGGTACATGTCTAAACCCTCTGAGCTTTTGAAGCAATGCACTGTTGATTTTGTAAGCTTGTTCTAATGTGTGAGCTTCCCTCATTCCCACTTCAATACAAAAAAAGCACTCTAGTAAATGTGTCTCTCATACGATTTCCCAATGCAATGCTTTGTGTCCCTGAAATCTTCCGAAAGGAAAACGAAAACCCGAAGAATTCTTGCTTTTTATAGTATAGGAACAAAAAAGCCAACAAACCCCATTCTTTTTTTTTGCCCTGAAGACAATGAAAATCACTTTTTTTTCTCTTAAAAAAAACAAACAAAACATTTCTATGGTATAGGGTTGTCTGTTTTCTTTATATGAATTTTACAAAACAGAAAGAAAAAGAAATGGCTGGAGTCTGTGAATGCGAGACTAAAATAAAAGAGGCATAGAAACACTTGATTTTGGTGACTTTAAAGGTGGTTTACATGACAAGGAAAAACTATGATGGCACACACACACAAAAAAAGTATACCTTTTACAAATAGTGAGTGAAAAAAAAAAATTGCTTTAGGCCAGTCTGTTCACTTTGAGAAATTTCAGTAAACAAATTGTCATCAGTTTTAAAATGGCAAAAAATTCACCCCAGCCAATCCACAGTGAACCCTTAAATACATGGACAGTAATACAAACATTGTTATTAGCAGACAAGCGAGGGCTAGCGATAGCAAACCAAAACCTAAGACACAAAATTAAGTTTTCATGGAAGCAAGGCAATTGAAATACAAGAAAAAAGATTATGCATCTCTTCAAAACTAGTACAACGCAAGAAAATAAAACAAATCAAACTTAAATCTTTGGTCTCAATGCCTGGGAAAAAATAAAAATAGCAAAAAAGGTGATCAAAACATTTTTCTTTTTCCAAACAGTTCTTCAAACAATGTCAGGTATGAACATGGCGTGAATTTTCTAACATAAAATAAGCTTGTGACCAGCCTAGTAAATAACTCTAATACTTTCAAATATGATGTGTGCTATATTGGACTCCAATAATCATATTTGAGCTCTGTGACCATAAATAAACCCCTTTACTTTCAACAAAACACACAAGATGAGTTCCAGTCTTAAAGAGTAAATGTTCACACGTTTTATACTCAATCCATTCATGCCATAATAGGGATTTCCTGTGTTTTAATAAATGTATCTATGTATTAAAGACATTCAATGGTGAGTGATGCAAGAGTTCAAGTAATAAACAGGGACCCGCTCAAGGCCCCAGCTTCAAACAAACAAACAAATAAACAAACAACAACAAAAACATAAATTTGACCCTCAGAAACATTTAGGGGATAGAATAAAATGAAGAAAATAAAGCTGGACCTATGCTATAGAACACAGAAACCCAAAACTGTCCATAGAAATGATGGCAACACCAAAGACGTATTTGGAAACAGCCAAACCAAAATCAAGCAGCTGATTCAGGTCGTGCCACAGCGATGGTTCAGTAGACAAGACTAGAACACAGAGTCCTGTCAATAATCCCAAATCAACCCTTCACTTGCAAAAGCAAAAGGAAGGGCAACTAAATAAATAGCGGATGGGAAAAAAACCTCCATCCGTTGCCCTGTCTGCATGTGGTTTTCATTAGGTTGTATGTTCATCTCAACAGCTGATCTGACAGAATGCTCTTTCTATTTGGGCCAATCACCATAAAATTCACCCACTAACCAAGTTTTCCTTCTCAAATAACACAGTGAACACTTCAGAAACAAATAACAACCTGGTCTCATGATAAAATATAACCATTTCTTGCTTTGGCGATTTCATGTGAATTTGTAACATTCATGTAGAAAAAGAAACCAACCATCAAATTGGCCTCAAGCAAATATACGAAAACGTACAAAGGAGATTGCACAAATTCGCTGCAATGCGTCAAAACATAAAATAGTTATGAAAAGCCATGAGTGTTTTGACAAATAATGTCATTCAGATTTATTCAGTTTCGCTTCATTTTTATTGAGAGGTGAGTTGGGTCTGTGCTGGTCAATGGCCTGTAAAACTGTAACAGTCTGCTTGCAACATATGACCAAACTGTAAAATGTGGGGAAACTATGAGAGCAAAAGAAAATGTGAACTGAAATTCTCAACTGGACATATGCATGCCAGAAGACCAAAAAGTAAATGGAATTGACATAACTGACGTACCGACAGTGAATATTGTGCATTTAACTGTGAATATATTTTCATAAAGGTTTTATTGTGCGACATTAAAACCAACAGGCAGCCAAACAATGAAAAGTGTACTTTCTCTTTTCTGATACAGAACGAGTCAACCTGCTAAAAAAAAAAAAAAAAAAGAAGCACTAGGCAATAAAGGGGAATTTTTTTTTTCTCAAAGGAAATTCTTCAAAAGGTTCAAGTGATTATCGCCTTTGATGCAACTGAGAGCAGTTTGTGTATCTCTCTGACAGACCACATCTCTACCATCAAAAGCTGGATTGCACTTTTTTTCCAAGTTACGTACAAAAGCACATCTGATATAACGCTGCTCCCGCTTACTAAAGAACATTTTCTTGCACATATGTCTGACAGTTACACAAATCCAATTGCTCTAGACCAGACATTAAGCATTAAGATGCCACATTAGTTAAAAACCACACATTAATAATTTTTATTTCAAATTTGGTGTACACACGTGCAGCGGTCATATTTCTATATAAGTGCTTTATGTCGAATGTGTCTATGCATGCGATTTTGGTTTGTAAAAAAATTTGTGTTGCGCATCTTTCCACTTGATTAATATAAGCCAAAATTAAAAAAAAAAAAAAAAGTCCTCCCCATGCCAACATTGGTCTCTGTACTGAACTGTAACAATCTTAACTGCTTAGAAAGGACAACCTAATCCAGTCAAACAGAAAGCGAGGACAAAAAATAATCACCTCAAAGGTTAGTTTAAAACAAGCTTTTCTTTTTAAGACTACAACACATTTTCACTTGTGCCCTCCCAAACCATCCCACAATCCCTCATTCAGCAGCAGTCACTGTGAGGACACTCTGGAAAGTGTCAGTCGTCTGTTTGCTACATAGTTTTTGCCTTTTTTAAACGTAGAGCGAAAGAGAGAGAAATGAAGAAATTTAAACAAACTAAATATTTTTCCTGCCTTATTTAGTTTAGTATGCAAACCAAATATAATACAGAAGGAGACAAAAAAAGACCAAAAAAAAAAAAAAACACTGAATGAAAAATGGAAGGATGTGAGAAAATAAAGGCAGGAAGAAAAATAAAAGAAGCTTAAGCTAAAATGGAGCATGTAAAAAAGTCCCAGCTGGAGTTTAGGTAGCAGCGCAGGTCACCTGAAACTCGCCTCCTCTGCTTCCTTCTGTTTTTTTTTCACATTCACAAACATTTAAAACTTCCTTGTGCAAATCAAGCAGTCTTTAGAAAGAATGCCCTCCAAATTGTTCTTGTAAAAATATATAACTCCAAGGTGGCTGACGTGTGTGTTGCAGCAAGTGTTTCTCTCTTTTTTGTTATTATGTTTTTTTTTTGTTCAGAACACCCTCCCATGAGTCTAGAGTTGTTGTTTTTTTTGGGCGGGGGGCAAGTCTTCATCTCCGGGGGCCTGAGGACATCTGTGCATACACTGGGTACGCCAGCCGCACATTGAGCGAGTCGTTGTGCTGGACCAGTGAGGTCTGGTGGTAGTGCAGAACCAAGTCTTTTAGAGTGCTGTACAAGTTGTAGGGCTCTGCGAAACCATATCCGCGGGGTGTGCTGTAGATGACGCAGTGCTTCACCTCGCCTTCCACACTACAGACAGAAACATGAGAGATCCCATTATCAAGGTGATTCGGAACCAGAATCTGACCTCAGACAAAGATAAAAAGCAATCCGTTTGCTCAATGACAAGCAAAGTTAATAAAGCGCTAAATGTGACTGATTCGGTCTTGCAGAACAATCAAATGGGATCAATACATTGATGCGTGTTGCGTATAGCGTAACTGGGAAAAGGTACAGCCTTAAATGTTAAGACAGACAGAGAAAAATAGATCTAACTTTATTTATGCTAACTTTTTATTGTGGAGATAAGATGGCAAGTTATTGGGGACCAGACATAGGAGACCAGATTTTAACCTGTACCTCTCACATGCTAGGTCAGTACTATAACAACAAAATAGCCTAAACGAATAAGCTGAAAAGATTTGTATACCTTTATGTGGAGGCACAAAAAAAAACCCAAAAACCTTTTATAGACTGAAACGGCCTTAATAAAAGTTTGTTGTATATTGTATTGAAATAAAGCCTTATTGTCTTCTAAAACTATATACCATTTTAGTGTGTAAAATAAACTAAAACATGACACATAATGACAAAAAACAACCCCAAATGTTTTAAAAGAAAAACCTGACAGGGAGGTAAGATCACATTTTGTAGATGTATGAATAAATAATGTTTCTCCTGTTTCATTGCAATAACTCTCCCGTCACTGTGTATACTTCATCTTATGATACTCACACAACAGAGCAGGCGTAACAGCCCTTCTTGCTGCTCTCGCGGATGAGGAAGGCTCCATCAGGTTTGCCGAGTAGCAAGTCTTCCGCCTGCGTTCGGTTCAGGTCACCAACAAACCAGCTCTTCTCATCGTAATGTGGCAGATTCTCATCCTCCTCGCTTACAAAATAGGTGCTGTGATTATGAGAGGAAATGTGTTAGATGCTGTGATGGAGCCAGATATTCACTAAACCTGTGATCTCAAATTTATTTAAAGTAATACTTGATAATTTAACTTACTCATCAGTGTTCTCGTTTTTGATCCCCAGCCAATCGTTTATTCGTTTCTGTCGAACACCTTTATGATTGAGCCAACTGCATGGAAAAGCAGCAAAGGAGTGTAATACATGGAGTAAAACTGTTCACTCAAACATAACAACAATGCTGACAAAGGGAAGGTTTCTTACACAAGGTACTGATCTCTTATCTTTCTGAGCTGAATAAGATCTGGTTTTAAGCTGTTCATTTTCTTGTCCGTCTCCCTGTTGTCCATAGCTTGCGTTTTCAGGTCCTGTTCAAGCCTGGTCTTACTGTCGTGAATCTCACCCAAACGTGATTTGAGCTTCTCGTAGTTCATCATGATCCTGAGAAAGAAACAAGAACAGTTTGTAAACCCACTGATCAAGGCTGACAAACAGAGAGCTCTTAACTGTGGACTCTTTGCGTACCTCTCAATCTCTTTGTCGTTGCCCTCTCTGCGAAATCTCTCAATGTATTCTTTACTGTAGCGTTCCTGTGTGTGACACTGTTCTTCAAAAATTTTAATGGTCTCATTGAAGGCCTCTATTGCAGTACGTTTCATCTGGATCTCCTGCAGATCAAATAAAAAAAATAATCATAGTATGTGATGCGACCTCAAAAGGGCTGTGCCTCTTAATAGAGTTGGTTAATTGATCAATGGGCTTCTGAAACAAACTAAATTGCGTCCATGTCATACATGCTGAAGCAAATTGGTTGGTTGTCAATCGATCATATAACAATGTTCTAAGAGGCGTACCTGTGAGGTTTTTGTGTGCTCCTCATAGAGTCTGTCATATTCTTTACTTTTCTCTTGATATTGATTGTGATATTCCTGGAGTTTCCTCCCCACTGCATCAATGTTGTCCTCTTTTACCAGCTGATCCTGAGAGAGCGAGAGTAAATGCATTGTTATTGATATGAATTGCTGAGAGGAGAAAAGTGAGGTGGGGGAAAGAAAAAAAAAAGGACTGCTCGCAGAAACATACTGTAGGTTTTGCTTACAAAGTGAAAGCCATTTCTCAGGAATTTTTTTCCCAGGAATCATTTATAAAAATCTTGGAATCTGTAAGTGCCTCTCAAGGGCTTACATTTGTGGAACCCCCTAAATAATGAGCACCTGTGTGTATGAGAAAGATACAGGGAGGGCAAGGGAGAAAGGGGGAAACAAATAAATGCCTGGATGGCCTTTCGACATTGTGGATGTGTGCAATTATTTAGGAGGTGCGCTGCTGTGGCAATAAACAAAGTAATATTTCATGCCAAAAGCATCTGCTGCCTCTGCAGTTTCACTCACAACAAGCAGCACAATTCATTCAGCAAACACGCTCTTTAGGGCCGGAGTGAGGGAGGGTGAGGTGGGAGGACAAAGAGGTAAAAGGAAAGGCAGGGAGGCTGTAAATATGATACCCCCACCCACAACCAAAACCCATTTACCTGCTGGAAGCGGGAGACCGGATACATGAGCTTAACGTCCAGTTTGGTGTTGTACTGGGCCAGTGACTCATGCCTGTAGTGACTGATGAGCTCCACCACTGAACCGAATGTGAGCGGGTCAGAAAAACCGTACTTCCGTCTCGGTGGTAGATCTTTATTAGCTTATTGTTTCCACCTTTCCTGCAGGGAAAAAGGGGATTGCGTTGGACCACGGATCAATAAAGACAGAATGAGAGGTTCTGAAGGTGGTCTCAAAAATATTATAAAAAAATTATATATAGTCTTATATATAAAAAAAATATATGAGTTACCTTAGTGTTAGCGTGTAATCTCCCTGCATCTTGGTCGAAGCATCCCGTACTAAGAAAGTACCATCGGGCATGTCTCTCAGTTTGTCATTCACCTCTTCCCTGCACAGAAATGATGGCGAAAGAAAAGAGTGAGTGGTGCAAATACTCCACACATCAAATCTTGCTCTTGGCAATTAGTAATTTGAGCTTGTACTTCACTCTTTGGAAAGTGATGACACACACGCACACACAAAATATTCTCTTTGCCTGGCTGTATTTGGTCTGGCAGAGGGCAAAGGCACAGTGTGTGACCATGCTGTCTGGGAGAGAGCGAGACATCTTTGAACAGTTTAACTGTTGACCCCATCCTGCACGCCCACATGTACACTGATGCCTCTAGCTCTTGTCTTGAAATCAGACAGTCCGCCGCTTTAAACATGCCTCCAGACGACCAGCGGAGGAGCTGTCATGCTTCAAAGACTTTCCTGCTTTTTTGCCCCCTTCTCTATTTTAGGTGGTCTGGGAGGAATGTCACACCACTCGACTTTCAGTTCTCCTCCCATTCTCCTGACGGCCAACAACCTAGTCATGCTGGAGCTCAGCTGACCCTGGCTCTCGAGAGGGGGTATATTTAGCCTATTATGGGCTGCTGAGGTAAGGAGCCTTTGACTAAGCAATGCTCCCACCTTTCTGGGGGAGGAGTCATCTCTAACCTCCTACACTGGGAGCTGTGGGAATCAGGAACATTTTTAGGCTGCACTGTATCAGCAAGTTCACGATTAAGGGGAGATGCCCTATTTTAGTAACATGTTTGGATTAGAGAAGCTTCCAATAATTTTAGCAATCAGATCAACATTCACAAGAAATTTCACTTGTCATGAGAAACACTTTAGTGCAAAAAGTATTACAATATGATTTCAATATATTAAAGTGTATGGAGATGCAGGGGAAAGATGAAGGACTAGGTTAGCGACCGTTCACCAATGACATTGAACGTATGAGCAAGCAGTAGTGATGCCAGAGTAAAGTGGAGAACCTGGGAAGTGTTTTTGCATTTAAAAACAGCTGGATGGAGGAGATATTTGGACAATGAATTAGATGTGCTGGGCAAAGCACAATTACATTTGACACTAATTCAACAAAATTATTTTTTAACCATGTTATGTAGCCTTAATTTCGATAAACACCTATGATCAAGCAACTGTTTAGAAAAACATCTTTAAAATAAAAATGCACAGATGAATTGTGCAAAATAGGATAAGGAAGAAAAGAGTACATTTAATAGTCACATGTTATTTTGTTCGTTGAATGAACCAAATGACTCAAAAAAAGATTCGTTCATTTTGATGAACGAGTTCGAACAGGAGAGTCGAGCAAGGCGAGCATGCGTTCTTATAAAACTTAAACTTTTGTATTTATTTTTTAAATGACTGATTGCTCCGCTAGATAAGACCATTATTCATCGTCTGGTGTCGTTTAAAGCCCTTTGAAGCTGCACTGAAACTCTCATTTGGACATTGAACCGTTTGGTACCCAGTGGAGAAAATTCCTGGAATGTTTTCATCAAAAACATGAATTTCTTTTCGACTGAAGAAAGAAAGACATGGACATCTTGGCTGATATGGTGGTGAGTAAATTATCAGCAAAAGTTCCTTTAAAGGAATAGTTCACCCAAAAAATGAAAGATTACCCCATAATTTTCTCACTCTCAAGTCATCCTAGGTATATATGACATTCTTCTGTCAGACGAAAACAATCTTTCAAGATTTATACAATCTTTCAAGTCCATCCATCCTTCATAAAAGTGCTCCACACGGCTCCAGTGTTAAAGAGTTTATGCCAGAAAAATATTCATATTTAACACGTTACAAAGTAAAATTCTAGCTTCTGGCCATAGGCAGTCTACTGACGTAACTTGTGATGTAGTGCGTCATAGCGTAGCGTAAATATCAACAGTAAGTTGCGCTTTAGACTTAAGTGAAATCTGTACGGTTAAAGTTTTAAATATGGATATTTTTCTTACACAAACGCATCGCTTCAGAAGGCCTTTATTAAACCCCCGGAGCTGTGTGAAGCTCTTTTATGATGGATGGATGCACTTTTATACGGACTTCAAAGCAGAAACGGACATGACTGCACTCCGATTGTATTCGTCTGACAGAAGAATGCCATATACATCTAGAATGACTTGAGGGTGAGTAAACCATGGGCTAATTTTCATTTTTGGGTGAACTATCCCTTTAAAGTCAAAAATAGAAGAAAACAAAACCAAGACTAACATGGCTAAGAACCATTACTACATACTCAACTGAAACATGTCCAGTAGTTCTAAATCTGATGATCTGCCAACTCAAATCTTCCAACACACTACCACTGCACCGCAAATTATCAGTTAAAGACATTTTACAGGATAAAACAAAAAACAAAAACAACTGCTTTAACCAAAAACTTGTATAGCTGTGCAGGATAAGAGATTTTGATGCACACATTATTCAAATGCGTCATAATGGCTGTACACATTTGAAATTTAAATGGTCAGTATCACTTTGCTTTGTAATTCTACTTTATTTGATGCCTAGACTGACTGGGCCTAGTTAGTCTTTGATTCTTAAACTAGTAAAGCACTAAGAACAGAGCTAAAACCAGCTCAAGTTTATCTGCGTTAGGGACTGTGTGAGTCAAAGGATAGCAAGGCTTCAAAGATCTGTGAGCATCTCAGCAGAATTTCAACTCTCCCAACATCAAAAGAGCCTAAAGCTGGTCACTAAGCAGCAGGCTATTCTGCAAAAACCTGAGTTTTATGGATTGTTTTGGAAACTGGCCAGACATTTTGGAGATTTGGGCTCTTCAATCCCTCGCCTTAAGTAATGGCAACAAAACCACTGCAGCCTGCATCTCTCCCCCATTTCATTGCCTTTTTGATTTTGTACAGCTGCAGCAAAGCGTACATGCCACCAAGATAAGTGAGCCAAAAGAAGGAGAGATCAAAATAAGTTCACCAGCTCACATAAAAGAAAGAACAGAAAAAAGTTTGCAGAGCTGTGCACAGAGGCCTTGTTAGAGATCCAGCAGCAGAGTGCAGACTGCTGAATGAGCAACATGACATGCCAGAGCTACATGTGAGACTTCACCTCAGGCTACCAACAAGGAAGCCATCAGGTGGAGGGAATGGAAGAAAAGAATCTGACATTTCCAGAGGAGCAAGAAACACCCTGAGAACCCAGAGAGATTTTCATCTGATCTGCATGCCGTCTCATGACTTCACAGACCAAATATCACCTGACATCCACACTGCCATATGTGTTCAACTATGAGCTAATCGACAGAACAGACAGAAATGCAAACAAGTGAGAAATGAAGTCTAGTATCAAGTGACTCTTACCTTGATATGTCTCCCCAGTACCATTCTGCTTCGTGCAATGAGCCGCTGGCGGCTTCTTTCACACCGTTGCCGTTTACGGGTGTCATGGGTTTTGTAGGCTTGGGAGGAAGTGCTGCAGAAGAAATGAGAGAGATGTATCTTAGAGGAAAATCTTGTCATAATCAATCCTTAAGATAAGAATAAGATCAAAAAGTTGTGACCTAACAGATGAAAAGTCTGTGCTAAAGTATGGCTGTCCTTAGTTCATTGGGTTGAACACAAAAAAATGAATCCCCATTAATAAGTTTGTACAACCAAAAAAACCCAAATTGGAGCAAAACGGTAATACAATAATCCTAGTCTCACTCTTTATCCAAAATTTTGCCACAGAGTACACAAAAAACAGACTACTTCATTGAACCACTCAATATTCCCATAGAATGCCTTTAATTCTCATTAACATTATCTGCAGTAGGACAAGTTTGTTTCGGAAAACGCGATCATTTCCACTGAAAACGCAAAAGATCAGTTTTCACGGAAAATGCAACAACATCATATTCCATTAGGCCCATACGAAAGTATAAACAAAAAACAAATGACCTTCTTAGCCAGTGGTGCATTTGTACTACTCACTGAATCTATAGTAAACAGGTTCCTCTCCTTTTGAGTGAAATGCTTCTTTGTTGACTGCAAAAGCAAACAGCTGCCGCAACAGCACGCTGGAAAGCTAACGCTGATGTTGCTCTTGCTATCTTGTGGGTCAGGCGTCACCAGAATGTGCTGCTCAGCCACGCAGTGCATCAAGATGCCCTCACTCAGAAATATTGCTGAAAGTATGTGCTGTGCAACATCTTCACAGAATACTTTCTCACATCTAGGCTAATCTCCTGATGTAAATCTTTCAACCTTAGTAAGTTTAGTTTTGGCTCCAAGTTAAATAAAGAAAGCCAATAATGCAAAACTGGATGAACCTAATGGATTTCTTTGAGAACTAAATCTGTTCTAAAGGTGCTTGCGTGTTTTTTGTGCACAAGTGCTACAGTGAAACCTGCAAATGCTCAGCCAGGTGCAGCTGGCAAAGGCTTACTAGCTTGAGACAAAAAAAAAGAAAGGCTGCAAGTCTGTCTAAAATGCACAAAGAAGCAGTGTTCAAGACCTGCATCTACCGCCAAGCCAAACTAACCTCCCCCTGACCTAGTTGAAACTTGCAACAGTGGCCTTGAAACAGCAATGCACCACTCTCTTCTCAATTCACAGGTTTATTCAGGAGGATTTTAAGTGAAACCAAAGACATAATTTAAAATACTAGTTGACTGCTTAAGGAAGACATGGCTCATGAAGAATATTCCCATGATAAATTTAAATATGGTCACATCATTATAACAGTCAACTTTCTGTTAAGAGTCACCCACCTGTCATTGGCCTGGCACAGACAAGGCTGCGTGAGAGCGGGTGTATATCTATGCCAGGACAGGGGAGGGGTCTATTCCATTTAGCAAAACGGAAAGGCACGGAGCAAGAGAACCTACGGATGTCATAAAAGTCAGAGCAGATTCTAGAATTCCCTGGGGCCTTCTAGCTGAGGAAACTTCTATCTGGCATGTGAATGAAAAGAGGCAAGACTTAAGTCCAATAGACCGGAGGTGAGTCACAGATATAAAAGCCCACAGGGACATGCAACACACACTCCAGCAAATTAATGAATCACTACTGCTGGCACAATGTGGAATGACCCACTGCTCTGCACATAACTGGCCCCTTCTATAAAGAAAAAGAAAAAAAAAATAATATATGAGAAATAAAATCGTTAAAGATCAGAGAGAGAGAAAAAGTTCTCCTTTATCCGAAAAGTTCTCCTTTAAGATTCATTACTTCATAACATTTGCAGAGTGAAGTTCTTTATAGTATCCCCCCCCCCAAAGTTTCAGTCGACGAAGAAAGAGGGGTTTGTATGGTTTTCTTTGAGAGCATCATTAATTAAAAGCAGTGGAGGTTTATGGAGTAAGAGAGCATAAGTGTAGTCAAGAGTTAAAGTAGACACTGTGTAAACTCCTCCCTCCATTGGCCCACAGGAAACACCTTAGTCTGGTGGGGTGAGGAGCTTTAACCAGTCAAAGCAAAGCCAGCTCAACAGACACATCCCCACCCAAACTCTGCTCCTGCAGGTGTGCACACAAACACACCATTCCTACATTTCAGTTGGTCTGCGAAGAGATTGGCCAAATGCCTTGATAGAAAAAGTGAGAACTATTTTTGGAAGCTAAAAAAAAACATGGCGTAACAAAATCTCACCGTATGTTAGGGGATCGTTTGTGCAGCATAGCATCTTATAAACAGTCATTTGACAATCTATAACCTTCTGTTCCCTCTACACCAACACAACAATAATCACCATATTAATATTACATTTGCAAATACACACGTGGCTCTCCTTCTCCATTCTCTAATGTAATTTAGAGAAACAATAAACTGAGATTCAATATCTCACTATTGAAGACTAACGTGTGAGCTGAAGCACAAACATTTCTATGAATATGTCTGAAGTGCATGTCTGCCTTAGGTTTATATAATTAATTTCGTCACAAAGCTCCTTTCAGGGATACAGTGACCAGAACGGGAAGTGACCCCTCTTTTTCTCGTTCACTTTCTGCAAAAGCCAAAAGGCAGGTGCACAAGCCCATCTGAAACCTCAAATTCATGCCTACCAGTTTTCTCACTGTCAGCTCTTTCCGCAAGTGTGTGACCATCTTTGTACTACACACACATCTTTGTGAGCTACTGTTGGTGTGTGAGCATGAAAGAAAACATGGCAAATGGAATAAAGAAAGCAAGACAAAAGACAGATGTGGCTAGGTGATCTTATTATGGCAGCCACCTCATGTGTGTTAGTGTCAGAGATATCATAACTGCAGGGCACAAACTGGAAAGCCCACATACTCGCAGCTTGCAGTCGTTTTTTAGAGCTACCATTCACCAATCCAAACAAGTTACGATCATGATTTACGGCAAAACTGAACAAAGGGGTCAATTTAAATGACAAAGGCTTAAGTATTTCTTTCAAATTTATATAAGATTAAACTAGCCCATCATGCTTCACTATGAATGCAAAACAAACTTGGTTAAACAGTTTTTTTTAATCATTTTATTTTCTAAACTTGTAATGAAAGATGAAAATGCCAATGTGCGAAAAAGAATGTGACCAGGACAGAGGATGGAAAGGATGAGAAAGAAGGAGGGGGAGTGAGTGGCAATGCAACGCTGCGGAAGTCTGAACAAAGAAAACTATACATCCATAGGTGAAACCTATGGCAATCGACGACGAGCAGTCCATTGTTTAGGACACAAACATAAATGGCAACGTGCAGCTCAAAACATCATCTCAGGGGGTCATTGTACTGCAGTTGTGTTTTTTGCACAGAAACAAAAATATACATTCAAACTTCTGGTTCTACAGGTGACATCTGATGGAGCAACCGTACCCAAACTTTGAAAGAACACAAACATGGATTGACAGCACCACACACATAAACAGTTTAGTTTGGTAATTGTACATACAAATTAAGGGGTACATTAGCATGATAAAAGAAGTGTGGCAGAGAGTGATGACAGTGCCACTGAAGAGAGCAGCAGGCGTGGGCTGCCACGTCCCGATCCAAGGGGGAATGAATTAAAAGTGTCACCAAGCACATGGGTGGTTTAAATAGTCCGTCGGGTACGCTTTGTGCACATATTATGATCCGCTAATTCTGTTCATTCCTAATAAATAACTAAAAGACAATCCCTGCAGTTGAACTCTTATAACAACCTAACACAAAAAAAAACACAAAACATGAAAATGGAGTACAGCTATCAAGGATGACACGTTATGGAAAAAGCATAATTCTTATGTTAATTCATGTTGACAAAAGCACATTTCCATTCATGCAAGATCCAGGACACTTCCCACACAATAGAACAAACACTAATTGTCATTGTGCTCCCCTGACAGTCTGTTCAGAGCATGAACAGACAGAAAAAAAAAAGAGAGACAAAAGCAAAGACAGCGAGTGTGAAAAAGAAGAAGAAAAGAAGAATGGTGTCTCCCTTACCGTCCTCCTCGGGATCCTTTTTGAGCTGCATGTATACAGCCTGCACTCAGCTGTCTGTGACACAAGTCCTCTTATTCTCTCTCTCCCTCTCCCCCACTCGCGCTCTCTCTCCACCCTCGCACTGCCTTTCAGACTAAAGCCAGAGGGAAAATCCCTGCTCCTAAATTCAGATGCTGCTCTCAATGAAGAAATCGGCAGCAGCCAATGAGAAAGCAGGAGGGGAGGTGGACAGGACACAACCATATGAGATGGAGAAAGAGAGAGCGAAAGCTCTAGGGAATGATATAGGAAGGAGGGGGGTGGGAGAGCACTCCTCCCAGAGAAAGACAAGGCAAAGACGCTAACACACGCTGAAACGAACAGGAAATATGACACATACACTGAACCACTTCACGGCTGCATCGTTTCAAACATCAGATTAAAAATATTTTTTTAGTGCATGTTATATGTGAATGTATGCATGCATCTGTATAATTTTTCATTATGACTACATAAAAATATATACAGATAGAGAATTGTTTTCACATTCTGCTCCACTCTAATCATATATACATATATATATATATATATATATATATATATATATATATATATATATATATATATATATATATATATATGTACACACACACACACACACACACACACATATATATATATATATATATATATATATATTACACACACACACACATATATATAGATATTTTATGTGCATGCATGTAAAGAGAAAGAGAAACTCTATTTGCTGTACACTTTTATGAATGAACAGGCTCAAATAAATGCAGGACTGAACCAGCTGAAACGGCACAGAACAAAGAAAGAACCATGTATCAACAGAGATACGGTGACATTTCCATCCCTTATGTCATACGAATGCCATTAAGGGATGTCAGAAGCTGACTTTCCCTTTGGTGTCGCTGCACTTTTGTTGTCCACCCAGAGCACACGGCTCCGCTAGCCTTTATTACACTCACACATCACTGGCCCTAAGAGACAGGGGCCAACTTTCCCCTGGGGGCAGCATGGCACCTGTGCTCAGTGG